TGTGAGGACACCCCATCCCAGATCCTTCCCAGTGCAGCACCCTCCCAGCATCCATCCCTCCTCTAGCCTGCTAATAAAAGTCAGGCTGTGTCGTAACCCATTAGGGCTGATTTATTTGATCAAATTCGTATTATTTCCTCAGTCCAAACCCCATGGCACTCTCCTCCCACCAGTGATTAAAGGCAGTAAATCAGGGGCAGGTCCTGTGTAGTGTTTACTCAGAGAGCCAGGCAGCTGCAAGCTGTTTGAGGCCCTTGTTTCTCCCTCTGTTTACCCCCGTTCCCATGGCGACTGCACCACCGTCTCCCGAGCGTCTGGAACTTGGCCCTGGGCTGTTTTGGTTACGTTTGAAAGTTTTTCGCTGCTGTGTCTACCCAGAGCTCGCAGTGACTTCACCCAGAGAGGAGTGAGCGCAGTGATGTTGGACGGGTTCGAGGAGGAAAAGAGAGGGAAAAGTGAGAGGAGGAGAGGAGGAGAGGAGGGAGGGAGGGACGAGATCTAGGAGTGGGCCGGCTCAGGGTGGGGGGAGGGCGAAAAGCCAAGAGCATTACATCATTGCTGGAGCAGAGTCAGAAAGGGAAGGATATGAGTCAGTGGACTGACTGCACCTCTCTCCTTCTCTCTCTCTCTCTCTCTCTCTCTCTCTCTCTGCTCTTCTTGGATGACAGCCAGGCCCCTTGTGTTTAAGTCTCCAGTACTTGAGTTGGAGCTGGGACTGTGGCAACTGTAGGAAGCTTAGAGTGTGTGCAGACTGCAGGATTTGTAGGTTAGAGCAAGGAAGTCCAGAGAGGCTTGTGTTGAGGGTGGGCACCCTGAGGTGTCCAGAAAAGAGTTATAGAGGATTAACAGGACAATGAGCAACTGTCAGTTCTGCTCCATCAGAGAGAAAATAGCAGGACAACTCAGAGATAGAGACTGTGGAAGAGGAAATATAAAGCAAAATGGAGGGATTCAGGGAGGAAAGAAGGTCTAGCAGTGATGTCATGGTGGAGTGAAGGTGGGTGGGAGGGTGGTGCGATGGTGGTTCTTGGGCGGGGATTGTGGAGGAGAGCTGGGCTGAGAGCGAGGCACTCAGTAATGTGAGAGCGCAGGGTCAGAGCTGCAGAGTGTCTACCTGCTCTCCCCTGGGGCCCACTGCCCGGGCTATTATCAATCCCCTCAGTGGAGCCACAGCCTGTCATTATTCACTCACACACGCACACGCGCGCACGTGCTCACACACAGCTTCAGGAACAGTAACACACTGGTGCATGCACGTATAATGTACACACAAACTCTAAACATACATGCACTAATCCACTGTACAGTATACTACATAATGAATTCATGCATGGGCAACAAATGTAAACAATGTAAGCAGAGGACAACAAACTGTTTTAAGAGCTCAGATTAATTTAATCATATGTTTGGATATTTAAAATCCTGTTTTACACACTCAAGCCGAAAGTAGAACCTTTTTGTTTTATTTTTTTATTAACAGTTCAAAACCCCAGTGTACAATTTATCATCATAAAAAAATAAAGCAGCTTTTTATTTTATTTAAGTGGCTGGAACCAGCAAACCTTGGGGATTTTTCACACAAAAAATAAACCCTCAATTATTTTTGTTTTTCCAAGAGTTTGCTGTAATTTGACTAATCAATCAAACATATATTTAGTATTATCTATGACATTTTAATGCGTGTTAAGAAGCATACCTATCACGTAAACATGGATATCCTGTATGATAATTGACTTTTCTTACTGACAAGTACAAAATTCTTGCATTTATTCTAAGTCACTTGTGTTCCTTCAGTCAGTCTAAAAAGTCGTCCTTTATTAGCAGAGTCAGCACAAATCTAAGATAATCCCTAGAGGCAGTGCCGTCAGTGGATAGTATTGTTTTCACTCCCACTGAACAACCAGGTGGTGTTTTGGTGTGTGTTGTGGTGGTGTCAGGCACAGTGTCCGTCCTCCCCCCTGATCTGCTGCAGGTGAGTGTTGCATGCAGACTGTGAAGACTTCAAAGTAGCTTTTGTTTTCTGAAACATGACATCCAAGGACAGCAAACAGCCTGTGCTGTGTGCTGACCCCTGTCACAGGTAGCTCTGTGTTAGTACACTAGTATAAGGATAGACATTAGGAAAAAGATGTTATCTTTGTCCTAAGGTTATTTCTGTGAAATATTACTTTCTTATGACAATATGAACAATTAAGAGAGAATTTGGTAGCTCAGTTATTGCTGACAGTTTTTTGTGATCTGTAAAGAAGCAGCAAAACACTGTACTGCCAAATCTTCACCAGTACAGTCAGTACCCTCTTTAAAGGTTGAAACATATTTTACACCTCTGTTTCAAGATTTTCCGTTTAAATTGCTTTGGTATTCTGTCTAACTAAGAGCCTGTTACATTACGCTATTGGGAACGTATTTTTTATTGTAATTATGCAGTAAGTAATGATGGTCACATACATGTAACTGTAAGACTAAAAGCATTACAACAATATTGTAATGCATTAAGTATGTGGATCTCCTGTCTTATTAAAAAAAACAATTAGCTATGTTAGATCAACTACTTTTGAAGTAATATTCTGTGAATATGCCCATTTCAAGGAGTTATAGGGATGTGCATATGCATAAATTGGACACTATAGCTTTAACAATTGTTTGCTAAACTGTATTACGCACTTATTTTGGACTGAAACAGCCTTAGATAATCTCATTCTATATCTACGATAAAAAAAAAAAAATCATCATGTCGTCATCATGTTGAATAAAAATCCTGTTTGATAGTTTTTATGTGTATAGAATTAAGACTGTTTCACGGTCACTGCCTCGTGACTGTTATTTCATCGTCTTGGACCCTGCCAGACTCTGAACTCGGATGGAAAGTGTATTGATGTAGCGCGCAGCTACACTTCATACCTCATTCATGGCTTTTCCCATGTGGAAATGTTTGGATTCGTAGTGTCGCTCTCATGTCATACATGCTGTTAAATGAGTGTGATTGTGATAAATTGGGATGTTGGACAGGAATGACACAAAGTCGGGATGGTAATGATCCTGTGTGTGTGTGGAGCAATCTAAAATGTCTGGAGCCTAAATGCACATATTTAGGTCTGGAAAAATACAGGTATTTATTCAGGTGGGGGGATCGTTTGCACTAGTACAGCCCCCCTATTTGGCCATCACTCTCTCACTACTCACTACTGAGGTAATCTGGGCCATGATGTGGTCAATTGATCACATTAACTTGTGAACACACCTACATGCTAAATGTTTTTATGCTACAGGGACAGAATATTGACTGTATCCATGTGGGAGAAATGACACCCTGCAGCTGGGCATCAGTGTTCTCATCAGCAGGGATTTGGTGGCAGTTGTATAAATGATGTCACTGTGTGCAGATGTAGTGGTCTGGATGTTGGGATGGTTGCAGCCCAAGAACCAGTCACTGTGACAAGACTGCTGTCAGTACTTAAAGCTTCGTCCCGACCTCCTCTGTACATGTGATTTATTGATGTGGTTTTGAGTGTGGATAGGCCTGTTGGTCCACACACGCTTTTGTGGTCACTGAGGGGGATTTTCCCCACAGGGCTTCCACTGCTGTAGCAGTTTTTCTAATTTTGCTCATGAACATCTCATGTGGTTGTTACGACAAACATTATTCATCCATCATCATCACCGTCGTTATTCATCCATTGTACTACATGATGTGGGCTCGTGTAAAGTGCATCCAAAAAGTCCCCCCAAGATGCCTCAGCCTTAACCTACAATATGAAAACACAGCCACACATTCTTTTCTCATTATGATTTTGCAGCAGAAACACGTAGAAACTAAAATCTGAAAAAGTTGTGGAGAACATGTAATGAATAAATTGGATAAATTATTGTCAGGATATAAGTACTGTTTTCTCCGGTGATCTCATGTTGTTGAACCGCTATAGTCTAAGGGTGTTTTCACACCTGGATCATATAAGCAGCATCAGCAGCAGGAGTAGTAGTAGTAGTAGTAATACACAGTAATAGGCAATATTGATTACCACTTATAATCAGCATTAAATAGCAACATGCTTTTACGTTATGTTACATACCATCTCCATCCCAATCGACATCGGCAGATCATCAAAGAACTTGAAAACATCAAGTTATTCGACAACTCCTTTATCTCATAGAATTTATATCCAGCTCTTTGAATCAGGGGAATTTGTCCTCATCACTAGAACCTCCACTTTTGTCAAGCTGGTCTCTTTTTACACAGGCTACTGCGGTCAAAGTTTCTTTGCTGAGACTGCTAAAAGGTGTTACGGTTTAAAGAGTTACCATGTTAACTGGTGACCTCCAGCTGCATGAAAAAAAGGCAAGAGTGGGCTACTCACAAATTTCTATTTGTTCATTTTTCATTATTATTCCAAATTAACTCAAAATGAACAAAATCAATTAGCTGTTATCAACAACCACGAGTAATTCGGCTTAGAGTCACCACTTATCAGGGTTTTACGTTAAACCATAACTCCGGCATAGCGTTGAGAGCTCCTCTCATTCATGACTCACAACTTTGTTAACTTGTGTGTTTTTGTGAGTGGTGTCAAACATTTTCTCATGTGCCTAAATGTGGATGAGATATTTGAACTCCTCGCTCCAAGTCAACCCATGAATCAAACTTTTTGAATCAAGTCCCACCAAATGTATTAAGACTTTTAAACCCACCTGTGAATGATTTGTTCATGTGTTTAAAAAGTGATCTAAAGTTTTATAGCACACTTTAAGGATGTTTGAGGTGTGCAACCACATGGTATTATATATAATTACAGCTATGAAAAACTGTGTTATCATTTAGTCATTATATTTGTACACAAGTTATGGATGCCTCTAGGATAAGTTAAACTGTAGTTGAGGTTGGGGGGGGGGTGTGTTGGGTTTGACGTTGTTTCATGACAATGCACAAAATAATGACATCAGTTATCTATAGCCCTGAAAAAACCTGAAGCTTTCTGAATGTCTGTCTGTGTGTGCCTCCTCAGGCCTGTCCCCGGCTCTCTGTCCTCGTTGCTGCACCTACGAAACAGACAGAGACAGCCTCTGCCTGCCTCCATGCCTGGAACTCTGCCAGACCCCACCATGCCCGGCTCGTCCGCCGTGCTGATGCCTGTGAGTAAAACAACGGAGCCCTCAGAGCATTCACTCACATGCAGTTGCAATGTCACTCACTCATATATGACACAAACTATGGAGGTTTGCAGATTTGGATGTTTTCTATCACCATTAAAATGACTGAACACAGTTTATAAGAAGGTCACATCCCATAGAATCCAAAGGTTCCACCTCTGAGTATAAAGTATAGACCTTATAGTAATTAATCCAAAAAGATTTAGTGGACCCACATTGGGAAGCTGGGAATGATAACAACCCGGGAAAGTTCCTCGTATCAAGATTCTTATGATACAACATGTGTTCTCATTGTAACACAAGACAGCCTGTGTTTATGGTATGGAAAAAAACTCCCATGTTTATTAAATTAAGAGCTAAGCGATTTTTGGGAAGATTGACGGTTCAGGAAGGGGGTGCAGGTTTGGGTGATATTTTTACACAAAACACACTTAGTGCAATTAAGGCTGTGTGTCAGGTTCTGGGCCTGAGTCTCTGCGGAAGAGGGGAGGGCAAAAGGGGGGCTGGGGAGGGGCCATTCCCCTCAGAGACCACCACACATAGAACAGATTAGCAGCTGGGAGGCCACAGCAGCTCACACACATATGCATGCAGACGCACACACAAAGGTTTCTTCTTTCTTGCACATACAGCCGAGTGAACACTGACCCGTCACCCCCGTCAGTAGACCCAGCTGATTTCCTCATATTCTGGTCTCCGCTGTGACACAAGACCACACTGACCAGGCACAATCAGAGGCAGGCGGTGACCTGACACTCCCACAAAGACAGATTCTAATGCATTCATACAAGTAGCCCACAACTTCTCACATCTTGCCCACCTTATTAACACATTTTGCACTAAGAGGGGCTGAGGTTTGGTGTGTATTAGCAGAAACACACACAACCCGTTTGCACGGGCTTCCTGTGTTAAGTCCCTGCATACTGGCTTCCTGTTTCGGGTCAGCTACAGTTATCATCACACAGAGCTGCACAGGGCAGCCTGTCATGTGAAATCAGGATCTCATGCTCTCTCATCATATCTACATCGCTCACTGTGCAGGAAGACGAGTCTCACATTCTAAGTGTTATTTCTTCTTTTGTCAAAACAATAATAGCATCTAGTTTAGACATTACAATCTCCATCAATTGCAAAGATCAGAGACTTATAGACACTGTATGTTAAGTTTGAACTATAAGTAACTATAGGTTTGAAGGTATGTGATTAACATGTCCACACTTGTGAGTATGACTGATATGATGCTGTTGCAATCTTAAGATGGAGAGACAGATGTCCATGGGCTCCAATATGATGGGTATGCAGGGACCCACCCACAGCAGCTCCGGTTCTTCTGCACACATTCCCTCCATGCACTCAGAAGCCAAACTGGTGAGTACATGCATGCATTTGCATGGATTCATGCACATTTCTGAACACATGTGTACAAGTGCACACGTTCAAGCTCAAAGTGTTGCAACTCTCTTTTCCATTGGGCTGTGCCAGCAAAGCTATGCTCTTAAGTCTGTGTGGATTTCATCATTTGGGTTGTAATCAAAGCTGTGTCTGAACCTGCCAGTGCAGCACTGGGGACTTTGGCTGGAATAAAGGGTCCTTTATGTGGTTGTAGCTGTGCTGCCCACTGACTGCCTGATGTATATCTTAATGTACAGAACATGTTCTGTTGCTCCTGCAACTTGTTAGCACTAGTTTAACACAGCGGGGAAAAATCAAATGACCTCATGCTTCACAAAGCAGGCAGTTAGAGCAGAGGGAATGAGATGGAGCTGAGAGAGAAGAGAGCCAGAAACAGACCGGTTTAGAAAGTTAAATAAAAATAAGTAAAGTGAGAGCTGAAAGAAAGAAACCTTCCACAGAATCTGACCTTGACGTTCGTAAAGCTTATATCGTTGCTAGACTTAGAAAAAAGCTTTAATTAAAGCCACTAAAGGGAACTTTCATGAGGATTGACTTTTGCTGCCCCTTTATACTTTTGTACTGGAAGTTTTACAGGTGTAAATTAAATACAGTTAATTCCAGAATGCATGGCAATAAGGTAATATATCTGTTTGTAGCCATGTATGATGAATAACTGTCATGAGAGAGACAACATTTATCTATATAGATTTTTTGTCTTCGAAGAAAGCTTATCATCATTTACTGGAAATGCTGTGCTTTCACAGAAGCAAGCTTACACCGACATATAGCTTCGGCCGAGGGAATGTTAACATTAGATGTTGAGTTATAAGATGCTACATATAGTAATAGCTAGTCCTCTCGCTGATTGTCTTTTGCTTTTGTAGATCATATGAAGGCATCTTTATTAAATTGACATGGTTTGATAACGTAGTATAACCCTTTTACATTTTCTAATGTCAAATGGATAAACTGTTACAGTCAAAGTGATAAGAACTGATTAATACTTTAGCAACATGACAACCAGCCAACCTTTGTTTTCAAAATAAATAATTCTGAAAATGGAAAAGGTCCTGTATCAGTGGTATCAAAAAAATCACAACCCTCAATGAAAATGATTGGCTGCTCTTTGTGTTTGGAGAAGTTCACTGATAGCTGAGTTTGCTGGACAGAAACATCTTGTGTAGAGAGAGACAGAGGAGGTAGCAGAGGTCATTAGTAGAGTTATTGCTCTGATAGAGGAGAGCGGGTGCATTCCCAGGGCATTTAATTCTCCCTCTTCCTCCTGCTCTCAAGATTGATCGTCTTTGTAGTCTTTTGAATGTCTTCAACTGTTCCTATGGCAACATGCTGGGGTAACACAATATTAGTGTATTAGGCTTATCTCTCCTCTGGCCGTCATCCAGACACATCTAGCTCTTTTTTTTCCGCCTCCTTTTATGTAATTGAATTGTAAATGCTCTGTTAGGCCTCATATAAACATACACACTCACTAAACAGCCACAGGCCCCTCCACCATGCAACTTTCTGGTTAGCTAGCTATTTGGACACGAGGAACAGCAACCAAATGAGGATCAATTGAGATTCCGATTCCTGATGTCTGAACTCAACTGATGGAATTCCATGATTGTAGATAGAAAGTGAGAGACTAATTGTGTTATCAGGGTGCGATCTCCAGTGAGGGTTTCATAAGCATAGACTTCGTCTCTAATGTCTCTAATATCCGCACACGGGCCAAGTCGATAAATACGGCCTCGCTATCGGATAACTGGGCCATGATCAGGCCCATGTGTCCCCTGCGACGTTCTCAATCTGGCTCTAATCGCATTACCCCGACCATGTTGACTTTCCGCCAATGGGAAATCTCGGCACTGTAACCCCACACCCCCGAGGCACGGAGCTGAACGCGCTCTTAATGCTCAACGTTTACATAGTGAGAGCAGAGGAGGGGATTGAGTGGACTTTGATAGACATGAAGGAAATAGATAGACATGCAGAGTAAGCAGGGGAGTTGAAAGTCAAGAAAAGGTATTGATAATCTGAGACATCAAACAGCAAGCAAGTGAGAAATTGGAAGAATTCTGTGTGAATGGCATGAAAGGACTTCTGCTCTGCCTACTTTCCTCCCCCCCGGCATGTGTGCGTGCATCCATACTTGTGTAATTGTTTGATATTGTGGGGTAACTGAAGGCCTCCCTTGCAGGGTTAACCCTCCCCTGCCATAGAAAACATGCTCAGAGACGGGGCTAATGAAGGCTAATTGATTTTGTGGTGGGCCAGAGCAGCAGGGCAGCCTGTCTCTGGTGTAAATAGTTAATGAGCCAGAGGACTGCTGTGGCCCCTTGGGGACTCGTATCTTGCTCTAACCTCTCTGTTTGTGCTCTCTGGGCCAAAGACTGTATCTGCATCAGGGCCCATCTTTGTTCTCCTCTATCTCTGGTTTTCTCCTTAAGTGCCGTCGTTTAAGTGGTGCACCTAAGCCCGGTGGTGTAGTTACTGACTTGTGTGTTTTCCCTTATTGCTTTCAGCTTGTTGTCTGGGAGGGTTTGCTGAGATTGGAGTGTTTTATTAGTTTTGGTTCAAGTGTTTTTCTTCTTGTGAAGGACTGGGTGCTTGTGGTGCCGGGTGTGGTTGTGTTCTTCTCTGTTGTGGTCTGGGGAATAGAATGGTGCGTGTTGTGCGCTGGAGGTTGTGGGATAGTTGACCCTCACAGTGTAGAGGAAACGGTGCAGAAAGGAGGCCAAGTTCCACAGCACGCCGGCCAAAGCATTACATCAACGCTCAGAGCCAGTTCTCCACAAGGGCTCGCGAACAGTCGCACACACACACGCACAAAAACACTGACTGCTCTAGCTCTGTGTCCTCTTTCTCATACAGTGTCACACAGACATTCAAACACATGCATACAGTAAGGTACTGAAAAACAACCGACTGACTGAATGAGACGCACACACATGCAGAAATGTAAGCAAAAAAAAGTCTCACATTTCCCTTTTTAAGGTTTTAATTTTTGTGGTTTTTGCGTGGGATGGAATAAATACTGTCAAATGAATGAGTGACATGTATCTGTGTTTAACATGTATGCACACACACAAGACACACACAACTCTGTCCAGTGTGACTCATGTAACTGCTGTTATGCTTAAAGGCTTAATATGTGATTTCTCACACTTAAATGTAATAGAAATCAATATCTTTTGAAATTCTGAGTCATGACTGTCTACAATGGGTGTGACTTCCGAGTCCCACTGTCTGTGATGCTTTCCGAGTTTTCCGAGTCATATCTTCAGTTTGTTTACATCGCCCGGACAGCCGACTGGCTCGTCACATAAGCGTTTTTAGATCACGGTCATTTCGGGTAAATTTACATGCAGTGTGAAGATACGAGCATAATAAAGATCGCTAGCATTAAGTCACTAAATGAACATGCTTTCCAGGATCCACTTTGAGCATTTTAGCATCTTATAGGCTTCACCCAGTCTGCACTACCAGTGTGTTTGATTCAGGTAACTTAGTTGGCATGCAGCATTATTTAAAAAAAGAGAAGCATGTAGCCATACACAAGCCGTAGGCTTTTAACTTTAACTCATAATGGCGGAAATCATTAATACATGTCATATCAGTACTTTCTGTTACTGCTAAGCCAGACCCATTTCCAGTGGATGAATGTCTGTTCAATGGTTCTGCCTGCAGCTGCGTTACACCGGCAGCGTCTTCTATGTTCCATCTGTGGATTTGATTTGCCGCACGACTTATTTTTGAGCATTCATGTGACCTTTGCTTTTACTCCGTAGCCGAAGCAACTTCAAATGAAGTGATGCAATACTTAATAACAAAACATTCAACGCTGGACCCTCCATCCCTAAGCATGACACCAGCTCCATATTGTTTTTGTGGTTACAATCTTGCACCTGATCATTAAGTTTTTTTTATAGAGCCCCCTCCTCAGAGCCTGCACACTGTTATTGGCTGAAAACTGCACATCCACTGCACAACAGTTTACGCCCAGAAACGTCCCGGACACAGAGCGATAACAAAGTACAGGGTAACACACACACTAGTTTTAAGTGATGATGTAGTTTTGGTATCTTTGGTATCTTTGTTTTGCATGATGAAAGATGTTCTCTATCATTTCTCATCAGTCAAAGGGAAGCCCAAACAAGTTCTTATAAAGTGGGGTTTTAATGCTTTGTGGCATGATTCAGCTCATGTCAGTGGGACCTTTTTTAAAGTGGGATTGTTGCATTGTTATTGTTTCCCTTTATAATCAGCTCCATGCTTCCACACAGCCCACTCGCCTGCTAATCTCAGACAGGCGGGTAGGTGTATGAAAATGTGCTATTTATTATCTTCCAATTATCTATTGTTTACATTGTTACTAAGGACAATAAATGTGTCACTAAGCATCAGGCTAGGTGCTGAGTCTTTTATGAGGTAAACAATACTATATGTTCCTTTGCTGCAGCCCTTTTGGCTGTGGAGCTGGCACTGGATGGGTGGATGACATAATTCCTGGCATGCTCTAAATGTACTCCTTTTTACTTGAGCAGAGAAAAAAAACAGTGCGCCTCTTAAAGAAACATTTCATAGGACACAGGAGGAGCAATAATCAAAGTGTTTCTACAGCTTTTTTTGCATTTCATTTACACAACCCTTACTGCTCATATGTTTCTGTGTAGTTGCAGGAATGCTAAAGGCATTGCAGTTATGGGGCTTTAAGATCAAGCTTTGCCCTTCACAGCTTTTAAGAGAGAAAAGAGAAAGTTACATTTTCTGTTGAGAAATTCAAAGAAAGAAAAACTTGTGAAGCAGCCACATATGTGTCAGTTTTTAAATCTGCTACACTGTGATTGATGGAGTGATTACTTCACTATGAAGTCATTTGTAAGCAGTTTAAACCATTAGTGTTCATGGTAACACTATTACGTACTCCATTCATTTGACTGCGCTGTAGTAGAGGAGCACCTCTTGTTGTG